CCTTTAATCATTGCATAGCTCCATTGGACTGTAGGGTATGTAACACTGTTAGTACTCTACTGCCATCTAGTGGACATGTCTTGGAAACGCCAGGATTTTCTTAAAAATGAAAGAAAATAAGATTCTGCGTTTCTGACCTGAAGTTTTGAAGCAAAAGGTCTACCTTTAGCATCTGTGGCTGTCTTCCAAATACCAGTCATATGAGAGGGAAAAAGTATAGTCAAATGTAAAAGTTTGGTCAACTTTGGTCAAATTACACATTTTGTTCATTTTTGAGGTGAAAATAAGTTGTTGTCTACAGAGAACACACATTTTAATGCACAATTACTGTTTATTTGCTGAATTTAACACAGTGGGAAAAACATATTTAACATATTGACCTGTGCAAAAGTTGCAGCCCATTTAATATTTTTATATTGTGTTTTTTCCAAGTTGTTAATCTCAGCAAATAAATAGAAATTGTGCACTAAAGTTAGCAGGAAAAAAGTTTAAGTTCACCATATTTAAGATTGTTCCCTGTAGAGGTTGTTTTAACTCATTAAGACTTCTTACACATTTACAAATCAACAAAACATGTAATTTGACTGGGGTTGTCAAGCTTTACATTAGCTTACATTCTGGCTAAACAGATCATTTCAGAATGCAACATTTAAAACTTGATGAACACATTTTTATTTTATTTTATTTTTTTCAAAACCAATTTACTGTTTTATTAATAATACATTAATATATTACTGCTAGATAGTTTTGCAAGAAAGCTATGTTCATTTTTTGTGATGTTCACTTTTTTTTCTTTTACAGAAATAAAAAGAGAACTGTCCCCTTTACACCTCAGAGGGATTTCATGAGTCAAGACATTTAAAAAGCAAATCAACTGCTTACATGCTCTGTATAGCACCTCAGGCCAAAACAGTGGAAAGTTTTCCCATAATTCAGCTGATTCAACAGTGACATAATGAAATGTGGTCAGTGTTTCATACAAACAGAGGTAAATGGAATGCTGCACTTGTGTAATGTGCAACATTAAGAAAGAAAATATCTTTACTGAAGCACTTGTTCACTTCAGGGTGTGGTCAGCTTGTCTTCACCAGATGTCCTCAGATATCTTCTTTGTCAAAGCAAAAAACTTGAATTGTGTGAAAGGAAGTGACACTTTGGGAGTCAAAGATAAATAACAGCAGAATCATGTGGTGAAATTCTACAGTCAAGTCACGTCAGTTTTCATGAATGTTTATTCAGACTATGTGTCTAATTGTAGTTAATTAACATTTGATTTAATGGAATGTGAAAGTCAGTCAATGTCAGTACAGTTACTATAGAATTATGGGTGGAATACTATTAGGAGGCAACCAGATCTTCTGAGCTTTACCAGAAGTATAATATAATCATTTATAACTGCAGAGAAAAGGTAAAATACAGTAAAAGACTTTTAAATGAAACACAGGGTGACTGACAATCTTTAATGGTATAGAAAGGTAGGTAGAACACTACAGTGCAGTCTGTAAGCAACTGGATGGTAGCATTATTTTCTGAGGGGGGTGTTGGCTCTTGTTGTTGCTGAACAACACAGCATCACCACAAAGACAGTGTCTGGTGAGGTTTATGGATCACAGACTTCAGGCTGAAATCAATTACAAAGAAGTAAACATAATAACATTATTTACAACTGAGCACAATTGAAATTTCAATTTCTCTAATTATTACAATTTTCAAAGGAAAATTTCATATCTCTAAAACAATGGCTTTACAGGAGAAGGCAAAAACATTATCATTCATTCATCTTCTAGGTTGAGGGACCCCATATCCCTACAGCCTTTGGGCGGAAGGCAGGAAACACCCTGGACAGGACACCAGTCCATGGCAGGGCAGACACATAGACATACCCATTAACACACACCCCCACACCTAGGGGCAATTTAGTATCTTCAATTCACTTGACTGCATGTTTTTAGACTGTGGGAGGAAACCAGAGCGCCTGGAGGAACACAGGAAAAACAAGCAGAGCCCACACAGAAAAGACCCTGGTCGCCCAATCCAGGCCCTTCTTGCTGTGCCACTTCGGCCACTTCATTAAGTACACCATGTTGTTTCTACACTCTTTGTTCATTTCATCAGCTCCACTTACCATATAGGAGCACTTTGCAGTTCTACAATTACAGACTGTAGTCCATCTGTTTCACTGTATACTTTGTTAGGCTCCTTTCACTGTTTTTCAATAGTCAGGACCCTCACAGGACCACCAGAGAGCAGGAATTATGTGGGTGGTGGATCATTCTCAGCACTGCAGTAACACTGACGTAGTGGTGGTATGTTAGTGTGTGTTGCACTGGTCTGAGTGGATCAGACACAGCAGTGCTGCTGGAGTTTTTAAACACTGTGTCTACTCACTGTCCACTCTATTAGACACTCCTAATTTGTTGGTCCAACTTGTAGATGTAAAGTTAGAGACAATACCTCATATGTTACTGTACAGTCTGTGTTGGTCATCCTCTAGTCCTTCATCAGTGGTCGCAGGATGCTGCCCACAGGACGCTGTTGGCTGGATATTTTTGGTAGGTGGACTATTCTCAGTCCAGCAGTGACACTGAGGTGTTCAAAAACTAAAGCAGCACAATTTAAATGTGACACTTGGTGCTTTAATCTCACAGTCCAACATTGTTCTTGGTTTGGGCATGTGGTTAAGATAAACCTTAAATAACATCATCTATGTCATTGTCCAGTTACTTCCTGGATGCACTGCAAATAAAAGAGATCTCAGCAGTTACCAGTGAAACATCTATACAAAGTTTCAGTTATGAAGACTTCAGGTCCCTTTATTCTCCCACATTAATGATCTTCTCTTAATAAAGCTGCCATATTCCCTTAGCGAATTCTCCTGTGGGTGTCCAAAGAACAGAATGGTTTGGCTAGGATGATGAACGTCTTTGAGGGACTTTTGCTGCCACAGAAAGACTCTCCTGAGATACGTTATGTAACATGTATTATGCAGCCTAGTTCTTCCATTCCCTACTCTATTAAAAGAAACTGTTTCAGGTCAAGCCATTTTTGGGAGTTCTTCAACTTGTCCCTGTAGAGAGGCCTTTTTGGTGCCAAGAAGGTCCAGTTCTTAGGGTTACTGAAAGAAATCATTGCTGAGTGGTTGTACTGAAGTGTTTTTCTACATCCTAAACTGAAAGTGAGAATGTGTACCATTTTTCCATAACATGCTGGAACATGTTCTGTTTAACAGAAGAGCTGGGATAGTCTTCAGCGCTATGATGTAACTTCATTTCTTTCCTCTACCAATTTGTATCTTCTGCTGCATTTTGACTCATGTCTTGCTGCTATAGGAGACAGCATGCACTGTCTATAGATAGATAGATAGATAGATAGACAGATAGATATCTACACCTTTGCCTGTATTCATCTGTATATCATCTTCATCCATTTCTGGGTCATTTGTGAATTCAGCATCATCAGAAAGCTTACATATACGGTGGCCCCCAAAAGTATTTGGACAGCTGTGCTATACGTAGATTGTTTTTATCATATAATCTGACTGTCTATTTTAATTCTATTAAATGAATCTCTTGTTGTCTAATTATAATCCACCCTGAATCAGTGCTGCTGGACCAAAATAAAAACTCAAGAATCAAGTCAAGTCAAGAATCATCTTGTCACTCATCCATCACTGTTGTTTTGAGATCTGGCCTAACTGACTCATCTTGTAAAACAGTCTTACATAATTCATATAGTTATATGGTTATATAATTTATAAAGTCATATATTTAAAACAATTCATAAAATTATGCATAAACTGTCATACAGCTTCATCTTCATGACTGAATCACTCTTAACAGTTGTGAGTGAGAACTGGGGAAAATGGAGAAAAATGGCAATTAATTTATATTTAATATCAATAAAATCTCAAATTTTAAAATGTAAAATATTTCAGAGGGTAGTCTAGAACAAGACATGCATATGCAAGATTTCACAATATTTTACATTTTAAGTTTTTGGATTTTATTGAAATGTAAATTAATGTATATATGTATATATGTATGCAAATTCATTTTACTCCCCAGTTCCCATACATCACACATGATGACTGTAGTGATGGGTAATTAACAAAGATGAAGACCATGATAATGAAGAAAAAGAAAACGATGATGATGAAATAAAATGATGATGATGATGATGATTAAAATTACAACAATGGCAAAAAGGATCATAATGATAATGACGACAAAGAAGAAGTAGAAGAAGAAGAAGATAAAGAAGAAGAAAAAGAAGAAGATTATGATGATGATGATAATGATGATGATGACTGTAACGATGAGGAAGAAAATAAAGATAAAGGAAATAATGACTAATTATGAGAGAACAAAATGATCATGATGATAATGGATACATGATCATAATTTATGATACTGAAGAAGAAGAAGAAGAAGAAGATGATGATGATGATGAAGAACAAAATGATGATGATGATGATCAAAATGAAGAAGCAAAAGCAGAAGAAAATTATGAAGACAGTGAAACAAAAAATGAAAATGACGATGATGATGAAGAAAAATAAAATGATGATTGAAATTATCATGATAATGATGATAATGAAGATATACATGATAATAATTCGTGATATTGAAGAAGAAGAAGAAGAAGAAGAAGAAGATGATGATGATCATGATGATGATGATGATGATGATCATGATGATGAAAAGGATGACTGTAACTATCATGATAATGATGAAGATGAAGATATACATGATAATAATTCGTGATACTGAAGAAGAAGAAGAAGAAGAAGAAGAAGATGATGATGATGATGATGATGATGATGATGATGATCATGATGATAAAAAGGATGACTGTAACTATCATGATAATGATGATGAAGAAGATATACATGATAATAATTCATGATATTTAAGAAGAAGAAGGAAAAGAAGAAGCATAAGAAGAAGAGGATGATGATTGCGTCATCATAATTCTCCGCCCCCTTCTGCCGCGGCGTCCATTCAAAGTTGCCGAGCCCGTGTAGGGGGTCCAGCGCTGTGCTGAGTGGAGGTTTGTTGTGATTCTCGTGTTCAGGTGAAGCGGAGCCGCTGTGTCAGGCTAAAGGCTCCGGGCTAAACCTCCTACAGCCTCAGAGCAGCTCAGCCGAGCCGAGAGTGGTCCACCCTGCCGGGCTTCTCCCACTTCCTTTCTCGCGTCTCCGCTGCTTAGGCGGTTTCTCGCTCTAATTCTGCGCTTTAATTCGCACTTTGTTGTGGAAAATGCACTTGTAGTCACAGCTGTCGTAGAAGAGGGAAGGCGAAGAGGCTCGTATGGGTGTCTGGACGCTTCTTCAGCCTTTCATCGACTTCCAGCACTCACAGAAAGTGGACTTGAAGACGAGAGTAAGTAGTCGATACCTCCTATCAGCTCTTTTCTCGTGAAGGCTAAGATATCGATGGTTGTTCCTGAACATTCCCTCGTTTTGGCTCTGGGGTTCCTGAATTTTCTTCAGCCAGTTGAGAAACCTGCAGATGCTGAACTGTAAATACACATATTTACGTGTTTTTCTTTACTGTTTCTTCAAACTAAACAATGTTTACAGGTTTCACTGCCTGTTTAGGCTGCTTTAAACTGAATTACAGGACATACATGCATATTCATTTGCAGCTCCTATCTAGCATAGAAGGTAAATGCTATTTTGCTGCTATTGGAACAAAACCTTGTATCTCCATTTTTGCTGTTTTTCAGTTTTTGACATAATTTGAAAATGCCTGTTGCCCTTTACGTTGTGTGTAAATTTAACGATGAATGGACCAACAGAAACGGCCCAAATTTACTTGGAGAAACGTCTGGTTCCATTGACTTCCATTAAAAGTAAAGTATGTTTTTTCCTTCTCCTGTGAACTTCTCATTTTGGAGATACGAGGTTTTCTTCTGACAGCAGCAATTTATTGGTTATAAACACAGAAAAAGTGTGGAGTATGACTAACTAAAGCAAAGGTAGTTGTGTGTGCGTGTGTGAGTGTCAAAATGACCGTTAAGTACAGTAACTAATGTACAGTAATGAGCAAAAGTCACAGACCGCATTTCATTTATTTAATTTCCAGTCAAAACAGCCATTTAGTACAAGTTATTCGTTTTCAGGAGATACGTCTGAGGGGATTAGATAGATTAGATATAACACACTTGAAGGGACAAGTCAAAGGAAAAAAGCGCAAGACCTGGTAGACCACCGAAACTGTCCCTGGTGCAGTTCCAAAGCATTCCACAGGTACTTCTGTCCATCCTTCCAGACAGCTCAACACTATGGGTCTGAAAGGATGTGTAGCTGTCATGAATCCCTCACTGAAAAAAGGATATGGACAGAAAAGAAGAGCATTTGCAACTTAAAGAAGCTGCTGGTGTTCTCAGAACAATGGACTGACCACCCCAGAGTCCAGACCTCAACATCACTGAATGTGTTTGGGATTACTTGGATAACAAGTAGCAGAAAATGCAATCAACTTCTGAGACTAAACTTTGTAAAATATCTCTGTAGATTTGAAAAAGAATCTCGCAAAAAGAATGGAAGCTGTAGTGAAACACTTATTTTATTTAGTGTTTTCTCCTTGATGCTAGAAAATGAATACCTTGTCCTTAATGGCTGATTTGACTGGAAACTAAATAAATGAAGGGTGGTCTCTGACTTTTGAACAGTACTGTAGTTTTGAGCCAGTTACGGAGTAATCTTTGGAGAACTTGTCCCTTGTATAAATCTGTCTGTGGGTATTAAAGGGTGTGATTTATAAAGTAGTAGCTCTGGGTCAGCAGCAGTGATAGTGAGAACAAACACATACCCAGGTGATAAGGCCTGATTACAGCGCAGTCCTTGTTTAACTGGCACAGTACATATTATACTGCTGTTTGGTCGCTGTGCACTTTTTAATGTTTTCAGTCATGACTGTGGCTTTAAAACTGACCAGTTTCTAATAGTTTTGTTTTGATGACAAAACCACACGAGGTGGTGTTTGTGTCGCTTTTCTCAGACGCTCCCTGGAAGGTGACAGCGGTGACTTTGTTGCAACCACAGAAAGTTGGCATGCAGCAGCAGTGGCAATGACATCTCACTGACACAACAACAAGCTGCTGATTGTGGTCCATATTTTCAGCAGCCCAGGTAAACACCTCTAAGGTCACATGACCTTGATCTAGATCACGGAGGTCAGCCACTTCCCACAGGTTCACTGCTGTGGTATTTCTGTCAAATTTTCTGCTCAGTGTGGTGTGGATCTAGGTTAACTGTCTCCCTGCACCTTACATAGGAACTAACACTGCTGTGCAAAAGGAAAAACGACATTCTGTTGAAGACAGAGCTGTTTTCGATCACAGTATGTTAATTACGTGCTCTGCGCTTAGTGCATTCTCTTCACTGTGCTGCTTTTTGGTGAAGGAACAGCTCTGAAAACAAGCCAGAGAGCAGCAGTGACACAGTTAGTGGGCATTTGGCTTGGTTTACTTGGGAGAACAGTAGCCACCTTTTACATTCAGCCACATTTTATGTTTGGGATGTAAAACATTCATAACTATGACTTAGATTTTTACCTGGATTATTATTTTAATAAAATTAATCCTGAGTGAGCTTAACTCTTAACACTTTCACCCCCTGCTACCTCAGAAGGACTACAGTACAGTACACTTGTTAGTTCATGTCCTTGGTAGGAATGTGAATGAGTGCTCGAGTACTCTGTTGACCATTTGAGGTGCCAGCATTAGAACAGTGAAATCACTATTCAGGTAACCATCACATTTTGTCACTGGAAAAGAGAACAAATATACATGCTAACAGTTCAGTTACTGTTGTTCTGTATTACATTAGATACACATTTGATGAATTCAAGTCGTTCTATGGAGACGTCTATTTTTGTGTTCCTAGAGTTTACAGATATATTACACTTGAAAAACATGTTAGGGTTACAATTTATTTATATTTTAAAATAAAGCAATGTTATTTTAACAATTTCACCTTCTTGAGTCATCAATTTAGCAGTGTTGGTTTTTAAATCAATTATGTAGAATTCCAAGCACACAGAAGAGCCCATCCTCACAGTCATGTGTAAAGGATGAGTGCCATATTGTCAGGTGAAAAACACGGTTTTTCTACAATTTTAAATGCAATAATCTATACATGACTATGAAATATACACCGATCAGGCATAACATAATGACCACCTCCTTGTTTCTATGCTCTTTGTCCATTTTATCAGCTCCACTTACTATGTAGGTGCACTTTGTAGTTCTACAATTACAGACTGTAGTCCATCTGTTTCTCTGCATACTTTGTAAGCCCCCTGATCGGTGTATGATTAAAATGACATAAAGAAAACAAATGGCAAATAAATATTATAAAATATATAATGAGAGTTCCCCAGGAATCATGTCACTGGTATTACTTGCGTAACAAAAATCTCTTATTTTGAAATAAAAATCACACTGATGATGTCACTTGACTTCCTTTTACCTATTTTCTGAAGATCTATGAAGAAAAGCACATGGTAAGTCCACTGTGTCTTTTCAGTTATCATAAATTTTCTCATTTAGCTCATGATGTCATTTGAAGCTTTTAGTTGAAGTCACTGGTGTGACCTACTTTATTCTTAGGTAATTGTGAAAAAATAGAATACAAATGGATTGAATTGCATATTTTAGTGGATATTCCATGATTGACAACATGTGGTTTGATGTGGAAAGGATTCATTTTATTAACATGAGAAGCCAGGTAAACATCTAAGCCATAGTTATGAATGTATTACTTCCTATTTCTATGTGTTCCTTTTGGTTCTTGTGTTCCTGTTACAGTCAATATTTCAGTCCTCAACATTTTTATACAACCTACCACTTCCCACAAGGCTCCGACATTTTTTCTTAAGGTTTTTTTGTTTAATTCTGTGAACAGTTTTTTTTTAAAGATAAGCAAGAAGATTAGAAATGAATAGAAAAGATCAAGAAGTGACAGTTAACCAAAGCTCTTCTGTGTGTTTTAGCATGAGTATGTTGTTTTCCTATATGAGTCTGTAATCATAGCTGTATAAATCTATAAATTTAAGGCTGGTTTTGTAAGCAGAAGTTCATGTCCCTGGTAGAAATGTGCTTGAGTACTCGAGTACTCCATTAACCATTCGTGGTGCCAGCATTAAAACACTGAAATTACTATTCAGGCATCCGTTACAATTTGTCGCTGGAAAACAGAACAAATCTACATGCTAGTTTTTCTTGTATTTGCAAGTAAGTGTGTTATCCAGCTTAATACAAAGACCCATGATGCTTTGAGTGTCTTATGGACAGAACTTCCATAAAGCAATGGCATCACGTAGTAATGTTTCATGTAAAAAATCTGTTCATAAACTTTTTTTTTCAAACCAGTGCTAAAATAATGCTACTTGTGTGGTATGTTAGCTCAGCATTATGTCAGCTCTAGTTTAAATAAAGACATTTTAAGCTCATAACAGGCTTCTAAGTAACATATTCTTTACTTTGTCTGTTTTATTAGACTATATCAGCGAGCACCAGCAGGCAGGGACAGTAATATTAGCCACCAACCTCACCTATCATCAAGTGAAGCACTCAGCTAGCTCAGAGAACAACCCTGATACTCTATTTCTCTTAGAAATGCATCACGGTACATAAGGAAAATGCATGATAATTTCTGATTCATGTTGATTTTAAACAGCGGGTGCGGTAAATGGAAGAGAGCAGGAAAAGAGAGAGAGGACGATGTAATTGCTGAGTTTACCCTATTACTGTAGCTCCCCTGAAGCTCTCCTGATGTTTTTCACTTAAGACACATCCTTGTTCTGCTTGCATACATGTTTTTTCAGAATGGAGAGCCGAGCTTTAATTGGATAACATCTTAAAAGTAGAAGTATAGGTGGATGGATGGATGTATGGATTGATTTGAGGAAGGATAAGTGAAATAGTCAGCCATAGAGAAAGAGTGAGAGCAGTATCTTTGTAGGAACAGATGTGCAGAAGCCTTTTTACCTTCAAGGGCTCTCATGAAGCACTGACGAGCTTGCACCTAATTTCTAAAGCATGAAATTCCCCAGACAATAGGACTAATTTTTCATCCCAGTGGCTTTTTACCTGCTTTTGGCTTGCATCTAATCAGGAGAACCCACCACGGCAAAATGTGCCACATGTGGGTGGTTAATTTCCAGCAAAAAGGTCAAGTTTCCAAGTCAAATCATCTAGAATATTCCACATCAACTATCACTGGCTTATAGGCTCTATTGAATGTATTATTATTATTTCTGTGAGAGAACCATGCTTTAGTTTGTATGATGAAAGGTGGTTTGGGTATGCTTTAGGTCTAAGGCAGAATTAAAGCACTTCCCATAACATTGTTAATCATGCTAATGTAATAAGCCTTATCAGTTAATTGAAAATGTTATTTTTAACAATGTAATTTATTGCCATTCGGTAATTCTACAGTATTTCCAGAGACAATTTCCATACTGTCGTATGCTAATTCTCAAACAGCACCTTTAGTTCTCTGCAGTCTCTGAGGTTTATTATGGATGGTGTCAAGGCCCAGTGATTTGACATGGAGTGACTCAACTGTACACTTGTTTGTTTCATTGTATCTTGAATAATGGGTAGGTTATTATGTTGTCAAGTCCTTGTCTTATACCACATAAGACTGTAGAACAATATACAGAATAAGGCTGAGTGAATTTATGCCAATCAGCATTAGTGACTTCTTAGTAAAGCCCTATCTGTCAGGAGATGTGAAGAAATCAAAACGATCACGTTTGGACATTGCCAGATTCTGTTTAAGGCTATGGTAAGGCAAAGCAGTGGCCTGATTCAAAACAATGTTACATTGCAGGGGTGTGGTCAAGCGCTGTCTGCAGGGGAGAGGCTGGGCCAGAGTGAGGACGCGGACTGATGGGCAAACGCTTAGATCTGTGGCTAATTTTCTCTCTCTCTACTGAGGAAAGAAGCTCATATTAGTAGGGAAAGAGAAAATTATCTGAATATCTGAACAACTGTCTGATGTGAGTTTGGACCATGCTTTCAACATATGGTGGTAGTATGAGGTGGGACCGGGTTTTAGGGCGGGGAACTCTGAGAACATGGGCTGGAGTTCTGGGTGACTTCCGCTTGGAGCTAGAAGGCCGGACCCTCCTTTTTTGGATGGTAGGAGGGCTGACTTAGCACTGAGAAACTTCATCACAGGAAATGGAAGGTAGAGATGGGAATGTATAGGCTGTTCGATTGGAAAGAGGAGAGGTTTCACGCATTGCCCCCCCCCCAGACTTCAGTTATTCCATAATATCCATATAATAGCCAATAAAGCATCTCAGTATGACCACTTCCTTGATGGTTACACTTAGAAAGGCGTTGATATGGAAACTGTGGGCCGATGCACATATTTTTCATGTAGATTTCTCAGATGCCGATACATGAACATTTATAAAATGTAGAAATTGGGACAACATCTGCCTGGATTAGAATCAGCCAAATCTAAACATCTGTCTTGTGCAGTTTTTATTTTTTAACCTCTTAAAATCCCAGGCTTATTACATACTAAGGCTTATTTTTCAGTAACTACATGGACTTCAGTGCAAGCTGGCTGAGCTATTCTTAGGTTAGAAGTGTGTAATAAAACTTTGGGCCCACCGGTTGGCCCTGGCCGTTTAAGGGGTTAAGCAAGCATCTGCTGGTACTGATTCAATTCTGGTATCATTGTGAATCCCTTGTTACATTCATTAAGGCTGGTTTGGGTTAAGCTCTGTGGAACAGGAACAGAAATCAGGCAGATGTGTGCACATTTTTACAGTTGATAAATAACAACCTTCTGTTGAGTTTTGGTGTTGTATATAGTTTAAGACGACACTAATACTTCCTTACTGACAGAAAGCACTGGAGCAAGAATCCATATTTTAGCTGTTGGCTCTTAGAGGTTTACCAGCTTGACAACCAGGAACAAGGCAATGTCCTTAAATGTCAGGCAATGTCACAAAAACTGCCTGGAGAAATGTTTCAGTCAGGAAACAGTGTAGATGTGTGTATGCTCGCTAATGATTAACCGCCCTGCATGACTGCAGTGGAGGACTACAGTACGGGACAAAGAGGGTCTGTCTCAAACCTGCTTCGTGTCTGTCAATGACATTTATT